ATTATTCAAATCATTACAGGTTGATTTGAAAGATGTGCCAATCTTGCAAGTTGACAACAGTGCTGCAGTTAAATTAGCTCAGAACCCACAATTTCATCGGCGAACAAAACACATTGACTTGAAGAACTTTTTTATTAGAGAAATAATTCAAGATGGAACGGTTGATATCACACAAATTTCAACAAGTGATCAAGTCGCTGATGTGATGACAAAGCCACTGGACAGAGTCAGACTGAAACTCCTGTGTGGACATATGGGACTAATGTCATAAAATGTTTTGAAACAAGGGAAAGTATTGAAATAATATATATGTATATTATATATGTTTCAATATATTTATGACTTTCCATAGTTTCAGACAACCTTATATTATTGCTAACTTGACTAACTTGCACGTGTATGTTCTTTTCGCTTTTTGTCGACTAACGTGTCTTCTAATATTTCAATTAACGTTTCTTTAATAAACAATTATATTAAAAACAAACAAAGAAGTTTTTTATTTTAAACAAACATCAGATTTGTGGGCACGCTGTAGTATGATCAGAACAATGCATTGCTCTGCAGCAACTACAGGCGCAAAGCTTCGAATGCTTCGATTTCTTTTGGCATTTTCAATCAATGAATGAACTAGGAAGAGATGAGCGGAACATTAATATCATTTTATTGTGCCCCAATAATAAATCGTCAAAAAACTAAACAAGCTTCGATTTCAATGAACGTATAAACAAGAAATTAGAAACAGATTCATAAAATTGATACAAACAAACTGCACATATAATATTCAACTTAAAAACAGCTCAAGATGAGTAAGTTAGCGTTATAAATGTCAAACCAGATGTACGGGTTCCGGTGTTAATTTATAGGAAAGAAATGTAATGTTTCCGGATTTGAACATGAATGAACCAGATGAAATGCATCTATACGTGCTTGGAATTTATATGCGAAAATACAGAAAGTAAAGACAATTTTTAAATAAAATAAAATGAATAAAAAAATGTATTAATTACCTTAAACAAAATCATGTGAGTTTCAAATTTGTTTCTAATGCTATTAAAATCATCCGCAACAATTAGCACTGTTCACAAAAACGTTAACAGAAAAAAATTGATTCAAATTCAAATTAATTTCATTCAGGAAAGTTAACAAGTGCTAGGAAAATTAGCATGTTACATCAGCTTAGTGTATTTCAATTTAATAAAAAAATTATTAATAAATAATAATAATAATAGTAATAATAATAAATAATATATCAGTCTTATAAAAATAAATACATAATGTTACAATGATATTAACAGCAAGCAGCGATTTGAAATGAAATCGTTGTTTCGTTCTAATTTCACGCTCACATGTGTTCATCTGATGTCAATGTGATTGTTGTTATATTGGTCCCCATATTATTATTATTATTATTAAAAGTATTATTATTGTTTTTATTATTATTATTATTATTGCTGTTATTGAACCCCGTACGTTCAAACGCATATACTTTATCCATTCTCTCATTCCTCATTGATCCCTAAATTTTTATCCTCCTCGGTTTTCATCCATTCATCCATTTTCATTCAATCGTCAAACTTTTTTATTTATTCATTAAATTGTATCCATCCAACCAGATATCCAGATTTACTTATTCATCCGTTTCCAGTTAAATATTTAATATTTATTCTTTCGTTGATTCTTTTTACATTAGTCCATCTAATTTTAATCCATTTATTTACGAATTCTGTGATGGATAACAAGCTGTATACTGTTCGTTAATGCATATTTCATTCAATCATCTATCCACCCTTCTATCATTGATTCGTCCCACAATCATTCATCCATCCATCCTTTTATCATTGATTCGTCCCAGAGTCATTCATTCATTAATCTATCCATCTTTCTATCACTGATTCGTCCCACAACCATTCACCCATTCATTCATCTTCAACACTAATCCTCTATTCATTCCATTTTATGTGCTGATGTTAGTTCTATTTTATGAAGCA